TTATCTCATTTAATTCTCTAAACATCCAATAAGCAAGATAGTATTATTAGTTTTACAAATTAAAAGTAAACAAACAAAAACTTAACCCCAGAAAAATCAAATAACTTGCCCAAGGAAATATGGCTAATCAATGAGAGTAGAACTGGAACAGTAATCCAGACCAGGAATCTTCGTCTTTTTGCTGTGGCAGTCATTCAATGACAATGTGTAGGTTATCAACCCAGATGAATACATTCAACCACATCACCCAATAATTACTAAGATAAACCACCTCCTACAGTCCATACCTTCTCCTCAATGGTCTCCAGAAGTCTTTGGTATCCAGAAACACTGAAATCCCCCCACTAAAACCAAACCTTTTGCCATTGAATCGATTCCAACTCGTAGTGACCCCATAGGCTTTCCAAGGAGCAACTGGTGGATTTGAACTGCTGAGCTTTTGATTGGTAGCTGTGCTTTTAACCACTGTGCCACCAACACTCCAAAATCCCCTACTAGTCCTCTCCAATTATTCAAACACTAGCCATCCTTCAGGACTAGGAAGCATTTCCTAACTGCTCTTTTACACTTTCTTTCATCTTCTTCTTTTTTTTCCCCTCCCTTAGTTAATTCTGAAAGGACTTTCAGCATATTAAAGTGGTTATGACTGTGTATAAACACAAACAGACAACAGATTGGTTTGTCTGTATAAAACAAACCTGGATTCAAATCCTAATTCTGTCACTTAATAACCACGTGACTCTGGATAACTTATACAAATGCATTCACCCGGTTTGTTTATCTATTAAAAGTAGGTGGTTACAATGTTTTCCCTACAGGGTTTTTTGAAATAAAAGATATTGTAACAAAAAATATTTATAATAAATATCTGACATTCAGTAAACACTCAATAAATTACAACAACTATTATCTTTTTTCTTTTGAAGATTCCTGGTGGCACAGTGGTTAAGAGGTAGGCTGCTAACCGAAAGGTCAGCAGTTCAAACCCAGGAGCCGCTCTGCAGGAGAAAGATGTGGCAGTCTACTTCCATAAAGATTTACAACCTTGGAAAACCTATAGGGCAGTTCTGGTCTGTCCTATAGGGCCACTATGAGTTGGAATCGACTCAACGGCAACAGGTTTGGTTTCTTATTATCATTTTTGTTAGTTATTTTCACTTATTTTAGCTTCAATCATATACTTCTTTAAAAAATTATAACAGTTTCAAATATTAACAGTTTAACCCCACTACCAGGTTAAAGGGAAACTAGGCTTTAGGGAGAACAACAACAAAAAATCTTATCCTTCATTCTGTTTCTAATTTTGTAGCTCTTAAGCCATTGCTGAGAACTGGTAAACCCTGAAAATCTGTTATGTGCACAGATAAATATTAAATACCGAGGACAAAGATACCTATGAAAGATACTAAACAAGTTTAAAAAAAAATTCGTATAGAATCTTCGACTAACTTATAAAAAAATAAGATTATTTTTTGAGGATTACCTACTTCCCCATCTTTAATCTAGACTTCCAATGAAGTGCCCTAAACCCTACAGATGCCAGTCAGAAAAATGAGGAGGAACAAAGGTTGTTGCTAGAACATAGAACACACAAAGAGATCCTCATTGATTAAGTGTTAATTACAAAAAGACATACAAACATATCGTGCCAATTATAACTTTCTACAGGTGAGTAGTTTTTGAGAAGAAAAAATGTACGATTAGGGATGTTGACTTCCTTGGGCTTCCATCAGGAGGGTGGCTCGTTCTGACAGGTCAGGAAAGAAATCAGCCTCAACAAGCCTATTGGTGTCTGTGGTGGAGGTGGAGTGCATTGGCGTAGTTAGAAGGTAACTTGGAAAGGGAAGTGAACCTTTGGGGTCCTTGATGAATAAATGTTCTTATAGAATAAGATAGTGCATAATCTTTATTGGTAGGCAGGGTTGCCAATGGGAGGTAACTGCTAGGGAAATTAATTGTTATATATGACAATAATTCCAAGAAGGCTAAGTGAAGAATAGCCAATTTAGGTCCGTGTATATCTTAGCACAAGAGTATCTGGATGGCACAAACATTTACACGCTCAACTACTAGCCAAAAGGTTGGAGATTTGAACCTACCCAGAGGCACCTTGGAAGACAGACCTGGAGATCTGCTTCTGAACGGTCACAGCCTTGAAAACCTTATGGAGCAGTTCTCCTCTGCACACATGGGATCACCATGAGAAGGAATCGACTCAATAACAACTAACAACAACATATCTTAGCACTGAAATTCCCAGAATTTCACCTTGTGAAATCTGAGTTTTAAGAAATGGTGTATTTTTCTAATATTTTAAAGACTTATTAAAGTTAAACTTATAAATATCTTCAGAAAAAAATGTCAATGAATTTTCACTAACTTTCACAGGAAAATCTTGGCAATGATCACACCTTTGTATAGCATAATTTTTCTTTCAAAAGAAATACTCTGAAAAATATACTTTGTTTAGAATCAAATTTCGAGTTTTGCTTCTATGTAGCAAATGCAATGTCATTTAAAAAGTTGAATAATATTTCTTAAAATTTAATTTGGGGAGATGTTTAATTTCAAAAAATGACATTCTCAGAAATCTCCAAAGAGAGACTTTTCTTCTCTTTAGAAAAGCATAAGAAATGGCCAAAAGTACTCAAGAAAAATATGACGATCCATACTACTAATATTCTCTATATTTTAATTAGTTTGAGGCTTGATAAAAAACGTTGAGGTAAATTTTGGTATCAAAACATGGCCTGAGAAGAGGAACAAGAAAAACTGAAATGAGTTGCTTAAATTCCCAGCCCCGACAGCACCCCCTGGCCCTCCCACTGGGGCATCATTTTGGATTTAGAGAGGGTGGCATTAGAGTATAATGGTAAATACTTAGGTTCCTGAGCCAATGAAAGGCCTGTATTCCAAATACAGTCCTGTGATTTTCTAGCTATCCATGTTTAAGCAAGTTACTTAGCCTTTCTACATCTCAGATAATATTAGTATCTGCCCAACAGGCTTTTGTTGAAAGGATTAAATAAGTTAATTTCTGTAAGGTTCCTGAATCTACATGACTTGTAAATTGATTATATTTAAGAATCATCAGCTTCCAATGGGAGAAAATTGTATATGCTGATTCATTCATGGAGAGGGAAACTAGTATATCTTTTTCTTTAGTTTAAGTGGCCAAAAAAGAAAACATTCCTACAGATTATTTGGGTGCAATATACCATGAATTTTTCTTAAGTATTTAATAGCATGAATCAGAAGGCCGACTTAGTGTTAATCACAGGAAATTGAACTATAGCCCCTAGAAAGACACCTAGGGGCTTTCCTTTCTGCTTCAGAGTATTTATCAGCCTCAGGCATAGATTTAGTCATTTGTGGTTTGGACTGTGCAAAAGTAAATAATGGAAAAGTAGGCTGTTCGTCGGCGTCCATAAAAATTTGGGGAAAGACAAACTATAAACAACCACAATTAGAGAGGAACCAGATGCTTAAAAAGGCTGACAGAATAAATAACTCTTTGATCACCCTCTCAACAAAACCTTTTTAAAAAAACAGAGCCTTATTAAGAAAATCAAAAGTCCTGATTTTGATTAGACAACTTTTTAATCAGTTAACTGAACTGTTTGAATCAGAATAGTATATCCCTAATAATATTGTTCATTTTTCCTTTCAACTTTCAGCTCATTTAATACACATTTGAGTTCATCGTGAGTGCACTGCACTCTATTTTACATTCTGCTGATTTGTATTTTGTAGTACCCTTCTAAGTTTATTGAGATAAATGTAATCTATGAGGGAGAAGTAGTATGTCCTCAATCTTTGCTGCTCTTGAGTAAAGAGTGTTTTTTTTGTAGAGGAGCCCTGGCTGGAGAGCCACATTCCTGGATTCCAGAAGCTGCCTGCTGAGACTGCCACTGACTTGATCTGATTCAACACTCTTCATGGAAAGGTTGCCTTGTCCTGCTCCAGCTGGCATAGTAGCTTCAAGTAAAAAGAAATTCTCGAAAATGAATACCTAGCTCTATGGCTAAAAATAGAGCCCTGGTGGCACAGTGGTTAAGAGTTCGGCTGCTAACCAAAAGGTTGGCAGTTCGAATCTACCGCCTGCTCCTTGGAAACTCTATGGGGCAGTTCTACTCTGTCCTATAGGGTCACTATGAGTCGAAATGACTAGACAGCACCTAACAGCAACTAACAATATGTCCAAAAAGGAAGTGGGACAAACTTCCTCCTACTAAGTTATCATCTAGTCAGAGAAGATTTTCTCAAATTAAAATATCTTGAAAATGCCTACTCTCATTTGAAAGATGGGTAAAGAACATTTGACATGCGGTCATCACTGGAATATTTTTTAAAGTTAAAAACTGATTCACATTTCTATATGTTAACCCAAAGAAAATACCTATCTAACCTGTGCCTAAAAATATACATTTGTTTTAATATCAATGAAAACATTTACATGGTAAACAATTACTTTGTATTAAGTGCTGTCATTCTGTATTTAATGGCTATAATTCTTATCATAAGCAAAATTGTGAAGGAAATAATGAAGCTCTTAGATATCACTATTTCCCATTTCCAGTGACTCTATACCATTTAATCGCTTTATGCTTCCTGTCACCAAGCACCTTTCTTATATCCTACTCCCTTGTCTTGACTTGGCCCCGTCTCTCCCCTTCAAAATTTACCTTTTTATGCCCCAAGTCTTTATAGTCCTGCCTACTAACTAGCTAGCTTGCCAATTTTGTCAATTCATTTGATCAAAAGCCATATTAATATGTAATCCAATACTAGAAACATAAATATATTTTGAAGGGTGTCGTCCTCTGAAGAGTGAAATGTGTTTATCTCTTATAATATCAATGGGTTAACGGAGGCAGTGACTTTGGTGAGTGGATCCTCTAGGATACTCCCCCAAGTATTACATGTATGCTGGGCAGGTTACATTTGCTTTACTGGATCTGTGATTTTTCACTATCAAATTAGACAAGCAAAAATCTTACGTCAACAGCAACGTCTCCAGATTTCTCTCGGTGAGGAATTTCATATGCCTCCATTTGTTGCTTTGTTAGTCTTACTAACTTTTCAGCTAGTTCCCTCCAGTCTTTCCCAAGCTTGACAGCAGAAGTTAGAATAGCAGCCTCTTGGATGAGATGTGTTACTAACCCTTGGCAATCCATCTTCAGCAGAGCCTGCAATAAGGAAGAATGAATGATCAAAAAATTATATTTAATTATCAAAAGCAACTAACTGAGGCTTGATCCTATAAATTAAAACTTTCGTATACACATTCTAGAAAGTGGAGTCCTCTTTTCACCACTCATTAATTTGAATTTTGTAAAACTCAGGAAGTTAGATTCAAGTTTAACAAATCCAACAAGGAAAGCACAGCAGACACAAGTAGACTAGAACTGGGGAAACCTAGGAGCAACTCTGTGACTGAGTAATTATGGAGCCTTGGCCAAATCCACTTAACTAATATGTTACTTAATTTTTTAATTGTGAGGAAGAAAGCTGAACTAGACACTTCCAAAGGTACCCTGAGGTTCTAGCTGTCTATGATTTATCAATTCAGGGATGAGTATGCATTCTACAAAAGTTAATTCCTTGCCTTACCAAATGACTAGCTACAAGATTTCTCCAAATAGTGAGCACATTGGTGCTGATAAACATTACTTTATTTTTCATCAAAATTAGATTTAAAACTTCCCAGGGTCATGCCTATTGCATAAAAATGAGATACTCCTACAACTTTGAACAAAGCTATTGATGACTATGACTTTAAAAAATTCAACTATTTCCCTTTGCCACCAGTATAATGGTGCTAAATATAACCACAAGATACTAAAGTACTTAGTCTTATACAATGCAAAATGGAAAATTGTCGGATTCTTTCCTCCTTAATCAGGCATCTGTGCTTTGTCACTCACCGAGCACGTTGTAAATAAGTCTACGAGTTTCTCTTTTGCCTTGAATACATGTTAAAAACACGGGATTATATCTATTTATACTTTTTCTCTATTTAAATAAGCAAATAAACATATTTGATAGTCTCTCCTTATTTAATGGTTCCTACAAGCTTTATCTGCTAATATTAAACAGCAAGTAAGAATCAACAATCAAGTAAGGACACACTCTATAAATAAGATGTGCCCATAAGAGTGTTCATTCCCAAGGAAGCACACTACTAGGACTATACTTGACCTATAATTTTTAAACATAGACTATATTGGTTCAGCAAGACCCTAGAGGTTCTTGTAGTAAACTATAGAGTGGGTTTACCTATAGTTACTCTAGTTTCTTGTTCTAGAGAAAAAAGAGATCTGCATGTGAAGTCATAAAATCTGAGTTTAAAATCCAGCTCCACATGTACGAAACTTTAAGTGAATCATAAAATATTTCTATTTACTGATTTATAAAATGGATACAGTAGTACTACCACCCCACTTAATCCCCATGATGGTTATGAGTTGGTTGAATCAGATGCTAAAATGCTTTAGAAAGTGTCAAGTGTCAAGTATATACGGACAGCCAGTGTCAATGTTTAGAGATGACTAGGAGACTTAGACCCCACAATCTTTATCATCTCCCTTCCAGCCACCTCAAATAAATACACAGTCCAAGAAAAATGTATACTTACTATTCAAATGTAATTTCAAGGGTAGACCTCCATTCCCCACTCTTCATCACCTTCCGGTCAGATAGCCAGGCCTAAGCTCCTTTATACAGAAATCCTGAAACGTCCACTGAGGCACAGTATGAGTTCTCCTGCCATCTTAGGAACTGCTCCCTTGAATAGGCTCTCTCACCAGCATTGCCTACTTAGCTACCCAAGGTACTCTATGAATTATCATACCCCAACATCCACTAGGCATGATCAGGCTGAAGCTTTAAGATCATTTGGCCAAATAACTTTTTTTAAGCCACTAAGAGAAACAAGGAAACAATTTTATTTTTCAAACTTTTATAGGTACATACTGAACATGAGAGAGAATGAGATGTTACAAAATACATGCGTAGAACAACCACTAACATTCAGTCTCCAATGGCTCTGAATGGCCAGGATTAGGTAAGAGTGAAACATGACATTTTTGTAAAGTCTCAAGCATCAGCTCTGAAAGCCACAAATATCTTTTTATGAATGTTTATTGGCCTGAAACACCATAATAAAGCTATCCACTTAACAACTGGATATTAGGGCTTTTAACACTTAATCTTGATCAATACCATTGTCTTGTTGTTGTTGTTACGTGCCATCCAGTCGATTCCAACTCATAGTAATCCTATAGGACGGAGTGGAACTGCCCCATAGGGTTTCCTGAGCTGTAATCTTTATTGGAGCAGATTGCCAGGTCTTTTCTCCCACAGAGCAGCTGGTGGGTTTGAACTGCCTACCTTTCAGTTAGTAGCCGAGCGCTCAACCATTTCGCCACCAGGGCTCCTTCGATATTATTGTAGAATCATCAAAATAACTGAAGAAGAAATGTTTATACATACATACTTCTTCATTGTCTCAATTAATGTTAATGTCACAGACTGAATTCCTCCCCATAATTTTCTCCCCTCCTTTTGCACCTTGATTAAAACCTTCCTCTTCTATATGACCCTACCTGTGTATCTCACTCATTTTTTATAGGGTCCCAGCCTTGCAGTTATTTCCTAAATACGTCAACACATGTTCTCACACAAACATATTACACACAGACACACACACACGTATACTTGAATTTGTGTCAGGAAGGCATAGGGGTTCAAAGAATGCTTTTGGAGACAAAAAGTTCTCAAATCCCATCTCTGAGACTAATTGTGCAAACTTAGACACGTTGCTCAATCCTCCTAAGACACAGTTTCCTCTATGTGTAAGGTGAAGATACTGGTTACACTTGCCTCGTAGAGATAATGGCTAAACGAGATAGTGCTTATAGAGTGTCCTGCACAGTGCCAAACACACACACTAGGAAAATGTCAGCTGTCCGTATTATTATTTATACATTCATATTTTAACAGTTTTAAGAAATACGCCCTTGAGGTTTTCTTTTGTTGTTGTTTGTTTGTTCTTTTGTTTTGGTTTTTCACTTTTGTAAAATATTGAATTTCTACTTTTAAGTCTAAACAGTTCTTTACCTTTTTGTAACTCTCCACTAACCTTTACATGGTGGTGAAAACTATGCTGAAAACAATCGACTTTGAAAGTCCTACTAAAACATGAGCGTTAAGAACAGAATTAGGGAAATCACGTTCTGGGATGTGATGCATTGCATACAGAAGAAGAATATTAAATTGCTAAAATAAAGGAACAGCAACCTGTTGTTGTTGAGTTCATACCGACTCATAGCAACGCTATGGGACAGACCAGAACTGTCCCGTAAGGTTTTCAAGGAGCGGCTGGTGGATTCAAACTGCCAACCTTTTGGTTAGTAGCCAAGTTCTTAACCTCTGCACCAACAGGGCTCCATGATAAAGGACACTGGTAATATTTTTAAAGACCACTGAAAAGTGAACCTAAAGTAATGGCCAGGTTAAATAATTTTGTTTGTTTGCTGTTATTTACTTGTCATGTTACTGGAACTATCTAAATATTTGCAAAAGGAAGCGAAGAAATCTTTTAACTATGATGTGTTGCACAGACAGACTTTTAAACCTTCCTATAAAAGATGATCCTCAGGGGCCTATTTTCTGGGAAAAACACAATTGGATCTCAAACTCAAGAAACAAATTATATGACCTTGTAGGGAAAGCTCTATGTTTGCTTTAAAGTAGCTTCAATTTATTTGAGACTACTGATAATTTTTTACCTTGTCTTCTCATATCTTTAGTTATAAACATTGCCAAGTTAATAAAGGTATTAATTGTCTAAGGTAAATAAATTACTGTGATCAAGCAATACTTACCACAATAAGCTCGTAAAGAAACTTCCTCATATTTCTATCTGAATGACAATCTTCCTTTAACTTCTTTACAACGTGAGAAACTTTTTCTGATTCTTTCTCTGCTTGCATTCCATCAAAATCTTCCAGCGTGAAATGTGAGTAACCTAGGACATCAGCTAAAACTTTCCAGTCATAAACTTTTTCTGACACCAAGGTCAATACAACTGAGTAGATATAAGTCAGTTTTTTAAAGGGCAGAGCTATTTGTTCGAGAAGATTCCCCGTTGTGAATACACTATCTGACAAAGACATTACTTGTTCCTTTGAAATCACTTTGACATTTTTACAGTGCACGAGTCCAGCTTTACCTCTGAGGATTCCCACATACCATTCTTTCACTTTGGACTGTCCAATGGCTTTTACCTTACCTTCTCCAAGAAGAGCTATTGTGTCCCCTTTGAAATATTGAAGTAAGTAGTCAATCTTGTTTTGTCTTAACACTGACTTCAGGGTTACCCCATAGTTGGTGAAGTTCAATTTTTTATCTTGAAATGTGGGGTATTTAGCAACTACTTTTGGTAATAAAGGAGCCAGCTTGAGTTCTGTCTCCTCTTGCAAATGGCCTGGGAGTTTGGAGAGCCTTTTTAGGTTTGGGGCTGGATCAGGTGTAGTGATAGAAAACTGTGTAACTGGTCTACCATTGGGAGGTTCCACCTGAATACGGAAAACAAACGAGTGCATTTCTCTGGGGTCAACCAAAGAAAACAAAAATTGTCGATGAACTACTTCACCTGCCTGCAACTCTTTCTGTTTAATTACTTTCCTTTCTTCTGCCTTTACTTCAAAATTAGGATCACAGGAACAAACAGAAATACTTAAAACTTGTGGCTTGTCAAGTAAAAATGTATGCTTCCCCCAGAGCTGAAATATAACCGGAGACATGTTTTTTCTATCTCTTTTAATATTAGAAATTGTGAGCTTTTTTGGCATATAACTGTGTCCACAAACTGTGAAAACAGTAGTGAAACTGGGATGGATATATTTGGGTCCATAAATTCCAATGGAGATGGGTTTGTGGATATAATCGCAAATGGTGGCAGCTGGTGACTGAATAGCTTTTGCTTGTGCAGCAACGACAAAATACATCACCTGACTCAAGTCAATTAGTTTAACTTGAATGGTGTCTTTATAAATGTAGCACTTGTTTAACACTTTGAAAGGCCCTCCTCTATCCAGGCTGTGTAAACACACCATTTCTGTCATGACTTGGCTGAAAGGATCCTTTCTTACTTCAGCCCCGATTTTCATCTCCAGCAAAATGGCTTCCATTGTGTTTAGGTTGCCTAACATGATTTCCAACAGTGGGCTTACAGTGCAGGAAAAATCATGGTTAAGAGTTTGTGGAGGATCAAGAAAAGCTCTTAGGGATAGCTCTTGGAATTCTCCTACAGCTACGTGACCTTGGGGCACATGAACTGTGATATCTGATTCAGGTAATTGTACTGACCCTCCTTGGTGATTTAATTTACAAACAATGACAGTCTCTGCAACTTGTGTTTGGGCCCATCCAGGACTCTGATTGGTTATATTCAAATCCAGGCAGGAGCGGGCCAGGTGGCGTTGACACAACCAAGCCATTTTATAAGCCTCTCGATCATTCTGAAGCCATTCTAAGTCTTGCACCAGAATCTGGTCAGAGTTAAGTGTACTCTGATGGGCATATGCTGTATCATGTAAAATGTCCAAAATGTCTGAAACACTTTTAGATTTTCTAGATTTCCTTGAGGTAGACTTTCTAAGCAATTGATGGGCATCAAGTTCGTCACCAGAGGAATCAAGACAATTTCCAGTGTCTATTTCTCTAAAAAAAAGAAAAGGATCTTCTTTCAAGATGGAAATATTATCACTCTTCTTGTTATTTCTTAGCTGAGTTATGTCGTCCAAAAATGGGTTAGAAGCCGACAGTTCATTCCAGAATGGATTTGTAGCTTTGGAGACATTATTGCCGTGAAGGGTAAAAGCATCTGGCCAATTGAGAAGCAAACATGAGTCTTGACATTCTTGTTATTTAAACAAAAACAAAACAAAGATAAAATGGCATTCTGAGATACACCCAGGTCTAATTTTTACCATAGCTTAAAGAGTCCAGACTTAATTTTCATTTTACTTTTTGATCTCCAGTCTAATGGCTACTACAAAGCTAATGTTAAATTTGGTCAAATTTGCATCTAATGAAGAAAGTAAAATTGTTCTACCAGGTTATTTTGAACACATGTAATGTTATTTTATCTTAAAATATCATGATTTATAAACTGAACAAATAAATGTTTATCAATTTAGATAGTAATAAACTTAACATATATTCCTGAGAATAAACCAGACTAGCATCCACTTATGCGTTATTACTTTGTTTCATTTTTGCAAAAGCACGCCTCTGAACAAACAGATTAATTCAATTATACAGATTTTTTCTCAACATTGAATAGGTGATCTCATTACATCGAAATTATTGATTTTATGTTTTTATTTTCAGATAATATGCAATATGTGAAAAATATTAAACACATTTTAACAACTAAAAACAATTTTAAATTAAACATTTATTATTTTCTGATAATGCTTCGTTGGTAAATTTTAATAATATGAACTTGAAAAACAGACCACCATTGGTTTATTACTTGAAGGAATTAATTGAGTTTTTGGACACTTGCAATGGCAAAGAGTGGTCTTACCACTATGAGATTGAGTGTTTTAAGAATTAGTACCCCATTAAAAATATTCATGTTTCTATAGTAAGGATTGCTATATATCCCACAATGTATGGAATCTCTAATTTTTTTTTTTTTTTTTAATGTTTAAAGCAACTCATGCTTGGCCATTGCTCAACAAATACTGGTGGTAATCCTTTGGACTTCGCAAAGTTGATGTTGCTTTAGAAAAAATGGAAACCTAAATGGCCAACCAAGTTATCAGATGTCCTATAAAAGAAACAATTCAAGTTGGCTGTCAGATATTTTTGTTATTGTTCAATATATGTAGAACTATAATCTTCACTGAAATGTGTTCTGTCATATGTTAAAAATTAGAACATGCATTTTTTAAAAACTAATATTTCTCTTATTTCCACACTTACTAATCCAGTCCCACCCAACTGTCTTAAAAGTTAATTTTGGCCTGAGGATCAGTTCAATTCATATATACTCTGTGAAGATTTCTTAGCCCTCTCCAACCACCAGATATCTGGTTTACCCTAGACTTCATTCACATATACTTACTGCATATACCACTGATTTACTAATGAATTTTTGCCTCCTCATAATATGTTTTTGTATTCTGTTGGCTGGCTATTTTATTTTGCACATCTTTACAGTGATAAGTATTTCTATGCTAGGGTTGGGATTTTATAATTCTTATAATATTCTGTAGCACTTTTTACAGGTAGACCTTCAATAGTTACTGGTGATGGATTTGGTTATCTGACATAAAAAATTATAAAAGTTATAAATTCCTATACCTGTAATATTGCAACTTTTTGAGAGGTTTCGAGCTTCCATGTCAATCAAATTTCCTTCATCTACTTTGTGAAATTCCTCCGACCAAAAATGGGCTTTTGCACTGGTTATCATTTTTCCACCTACAAAGTAAGTAGGTACATATTTTTTGTAAGCATGCATGTATAGGTTGTCAGAGAAAACAAACTCAAAGTGGTCCACAGATTTACATAAAAAACTGTATGTAAAAATATCTACTTAGTTTCTCTAATTATGGTGGGATACTGGATTGATATCCTAAATATGTACTAGCACTCCACTGAAAAACAGTCCAATCCTAAATTTATGTCAACAAACAAACTTATAAATGCATTACTGGTCCCATAACAGAGTAACTAATGAAAATCCCAAGGACAAAAAGAAAGAATAGTAAGTTGCAACCTCAGTAAACAGGCATTCCGTGCTTGATGATTGGAAGACTTAGTATCACAAAACTGGAAATTCTCCCCCAATTTATACATTCAATGTAGTTCCAAGATAAATCACAACATGTCATATATATATATGTGTGTGTGTGTGTGTGTGTGTGTTTAATTTCTTAAGCTGTTTTACAATCCATATATAAAAGCAAAGGGCTAATATTCAAGACAATCCAGAAGAAGAGTATGATGGAAGTGATGCCAACATTTATTACAGATATGTAGTAAGGCAATGTACAACTGGAACAGAAACAGACCAAGGGGGTAGAATGGAGACCTCAAAAACAGACCCATTCTCACATGAAAACTTGATATATGACAGCAGTGACCATGCAGAGCAGTGTGGAAAGGATTGATTATTGAATAGATGGTGATGGGATAATTGGTTATCCATGCCAAAAAAGAAAAAAAAATTACATTGAGCGCTACTACATTCCATATACAAAAATCTATTCCAAGAGATTTAAAGACCTAAAAGTGAAAAGCAAAACTTGAAAACTTGAAGAGAATCTAAAAAATTATCTTTTTACTTTCTGGAAAGTGAAGAATTTCCTATGCAAGACACACGTACACACAATGTAAACCATAAAAAAAAAATTAAAATGAGAAATCTGCTACCTCAAAAAAACATCATTTACAAAATGCAAAAGCACAAGCCAAAAACTAGAACATCTTTCCATTACATACAGTTGAAAAAGGATTACATTCCACGCTATATCAAAGATGCTTACAAATCAAGAAGCAAAGTGTAAACAACTGCATAGAAAACATTTTCAAAAAGACCTGAACAAGCAATTCTCAGAAAAGGAAACATAAAAGACCCCTAAATATATGAAAATATGCTCAATTTCACTGATAATCAGAGAAGTACAAAATGAAATCAAGTGAGACACAACTGCCACCCACCAAATTTGCAAACATTTTAAAATCTGGCAATAACAATTGTTGGCAAAAATATGGAGCAAAGGGAAACCCCCGACACTGCAAGCAGAAATGTCAGCTGGTACAACTTAGAAACCATGTGGCATTATGTAGGGTCAGCAAAAACCAGGAACTCCTTCAGTGAGACAGAATGACATAATAGCCACGTGGTCACACACATACCATCATCATGAAGATGGTACAGGACCAGACAAATTTTCCTTATGTTGTACATAAGTTTGCCAAGAGTAGGAGCCAACACCATGGCAACTAACAACACAGGAAAGATGCTTACAGCCTACCCATTGCCACTGAGTCAATTCTGACTCGTAGAGACCCTATAGGACAGAGTAGAACTGCCCCAAAAGGTTTCCAAGGCTGTAAATCTTTAGGGAAACCGACTGCGACATCTTGCTCCCCCTGAGGGCAGATGGATTGGAACCTCCGATTAGCAGCTGAGCGCTTAACCACTGCACAATCACTGCTCTGTGCTTACAGCCTAACCCAAATCCCTTGCAATAGATTCCGACTCACAGGGACCCTATAGAAGAGAGTAGAACTTGCCCCATAGAGTTTCCAAGGAGTAGCTGGTGGATTCCAACTGCCAACCTTTTGGTTAGCAGCCTTAGTACTTAGCCACTGCGCCACTAGGGTTCTGTTTACAGCTTAAACCAAAAACCAAAACCAAACCCGTTGCTGTCAAATCAGTTCCAACTCATAGCGACCTATAAGAAAGAGTGGAACAGCCCCATATGGTTTCCAAGGAGCAGCTGGTGAATTTGAAATAACGACCTTTTGCTTAGCAGCCGAACTCTTAACCACTATACCACCAGGGCTCCATGTTTACAGCCTAGTGCCTAGTAATTCCAATCTCAGTTATTTTCTCTAATAAAATTTTGCATATGTGAGTCAGAATGTATAAACATGAATGTTTGTTATATTTTTTAAAACAACTGGAATCGACCAAAATAGTCTTTAAAATATGATTGAACAAATAATTTGTGGTATTTAGTATAATTTAATATAATTTATAAAATATAATACAACACACTACAAATATAAAAACAGGTAAATTGCAACTAAAAGCATCAACATGCAATAGTTGTAAATATCCCATTGCTGAGGCTCAACATTCTCTATGATTTTCTTAGTCCCATCAAAGCATAGAAAAATAAATACATTAAATCAGATTTTGCAGAGTGTGAAACTGAGTCTCAGCAATGGGACATAACGTACCTAACAAGGTCAAATAGCTGGTGAGTGACTGACCCAGCAATAATTCCTTAAGCACATGCCACTTATCCCATGCAGCCTGTAACTCAGGACACCACATATCCCTCCACAGACTCAAGGCTCCCAGTGACATATTCAGAGACTGTTCTACCTTCCAGTTTACATTTCCAGTTTTGTTAAACCTCACTTCTTATTTTCCTTCATGGGTTAACCACACCCTCTTCACCTTTTACTCTTCTTTTTTTCCATACTCTTCTTTCAAATCCTTGACATTTTTTTCAAAGAAGTTTATTTTTTAAAGAAATCGAAAACCTTTTCTGGTACAAATGAAAAGAAAGCATGAAGAGGAGAGGAAGAGGAGGGGAGGAGAGGGCGGGAGAGGAGAGAAAAGG